CTATTCTATTTGTCAATAAGGAAAAGCATCAATATATTCAAAACCAGATTCTGAACTCAAAGAGATATTAACTCAAGCTAAAAATATGATTACTTTCTTATAACGCCTGGTCTCAAAAGTTAAAACCAAAATGAAAAATCAAATAATTGATGAACTTGATGAAATACTTGAATATTACTATATCACTGACTTCATTAAGTTATCAATTCAAAAAAAAACAAATCTGACTATTAAGATTTATAATGATAACAACAAAAATGCTATGTCTCAAAAAGTTCATGAAAATAATACTGAATTTGATGTAAAATATATTGAAAAAGAACTAATCGAATACAACCTCAACAAATCACTTATATTAATTTATTTATCACACTCAAGATATCTTCTGGAACTATATACCAACTTATATCTCACTTCTCATTGATAAAGAAAGAAATTAAAATAAAAGCTAGAACTATTAAAGTATTATTGTACAATAACTCTCAAGTTTCATATATTATTCAACTACAAGAACGAATTGTCCAAGCAGTATTTTTATAACTCATACCAATTGAAAGAATGAAATCTGTTTCTACTTGATAAGAACTTGAAGAATCTACTCGTAAAACTGGTAAATTTGAATTAACTGACAATGAAGAAATTAGTACATTTTTTCTTAATCAAGAAAAAGAATATCTTGTTTTTAATTTTAAAAAATTAATTATATTTATATTAATATTATAATTTTATAAACTTTAAATTCATTAATTTGTTTGCATAATGAGTTTTATCAATATATAATTTCTCCTTTACAATGGATATTTTTAGAACAGATAGTTTAATTTCTTGAACTATTTAAAAATTTTATCCAAAAAATTTCAGTTAGTTCTTATAGTATAATTTTTTTAATAATATTTCTTTTTAATATAATTATTAATTATATCAAAGATATAGAAAATGAAAAAATCTTTCTTACAATAGCAAAAATACAAATAACATATTAAAGAAAAACTAATTTAATACTATTTCAAAACAAATATAATAATAATAATGTATATTATTTTGAATTTCCAAAAAAATTTAACTATATTACAAAAAAAAATTTGCAATTAAAAATATTAATGAAATCAAATTGCTATAAGTATATTGTTTTGTATTTATTTGATATTAATTTTTTAAATATATTCTTTTTATTTGTTTCACATTCTTTTTCAAGTAATAATTATAAAAATCTAAATTAGATACAGATTTTCTTAATAATAATAATAATATTAATATTAATGAATTAGAATAATATATATCTGCAAAATCTGTCAACAAAGAAATTAATGTTTTGGCTTGATAAAAAGTAAGTGTTTTTTATCTTATTTATAAATAAGTTTAATATTAAAAGTTTTTGCTTTTTTATAAAATTCATTAAATTTAATTTCTTTAACTTGCTAATATAGCTCATAATTATTTAGCTATTCTTACTATTTCTATATCTTTTGAATAACTTTTTTTTTCTAAAGGAATTATAATTTCTGATAAAAAATTTAATCTTGCATTGAAAATAATTAAAGCTAATCAATATCTAAAATTATAGACTCAGTATTTTTTAAAAGATAAATTAGACTTCTAATTTATATTTTTTTCTTATTTTATTTGAATTATATATATATTGAATTATAATTATATATTAAATAATAAATTATATTATATTATAAATACATATTAAATACATACTAAAGCTTGAATGAATACAAACTTATTTCTAAACTGCATCAAATTCATATTTGTACTCATATAAAACTCAAACTCAAATTCAACTCAATTCAAATTGAACTGAACTGAACTGAACTTGTATTGAATTGAATTTAAACTAAACTAAACTCAAACTTAAACTGAACTAAACTCAAACTTAAACTAAACTAAACTCAAACTGAACTCAAACTTGTATTGAATTCAAATCAAACTTGAATTAAACTCAAATTGAATTCAAACTTGAACTGAACTCAAACCTAAATTGAACTTGAATTAAACTTTTTAAAAAGATTCAAAGTTCAAATCAGACTTAAACTAGACTTTTTGATATATTCAAGAAAGGTTCAAAGTTCAAATCAGACTTGAATTAGACTTTTTGATGTATTCAAGAAAGTTTTAAAGTTTGAACTGAATTGAACTCAAATTGAACTTGTCAAACTTAAACCAAACTGAATCAAGTTTTGGAATCTACTTGTAAGTTTGATGAAATAACATTGTGAACTTATTATTAAATGCAATAAAAAATATATATTATTTTAACTTATATAATTGTTACAGACTGTATATGCTAATCTTTAATTAAACTTGAATCAAACTCAAATTCATATAATAATTTAGTTTGAATTCAGTTCAAATTTTGAACTTTTTTTGAATTCAAGTCAAAGTTCAATTCAAGTTCAGTTTGAATTTTAAATTCAAATTCAGCAAAAGTCTAATTCAGTTCAATTCATAGGAATACTAGTTTTCATTAGTTATTCTTTTAAAACTGCTTTTTATTATTATTTGTATATATGAATAACAAATAATAAAACTAGAAAAACTGCAGATAAAAATCTGAAATACATAAGCTTGCATATAATATATGAATGAATTCTTGCTATTTGGAATGAGATAGACTCAGAAATTATTTAATAGACATTTCAAAAGTATTGCATTTTTAATATTTTAGATCAGAAAATAATAATGAGATTTTTACTAAGTTCATTAATACAGAAAGTAGTAATAAGAGTAATATAAGAATGAATAAGAATGATATATAATGAATAAGAGTGATACAAATATAATAAATGAAAATGATATTATATATTATAGAAGAGAATAAAAATGTAGTTATTTTTGATGTAAATAATTTTGATGCTAACTAAGATAATACAAATTTTGTATTGTTAACAATTAAAGCTTTTTTTTTATTTAAGACTGATCCAAAATGTGAAGTTGCTTATTTTCAGAACTTATTAATTTATTATATTACAGATCTAAAATAAAAAGTTGCTTATTTTTGGACATATATAATATTTATTTATAGCTTTTTAATCTTATAAGTCAATTACAGATTAAAGATACTCATTTTTAATAATTATTTTAATCAATTAAAAAACATAAAATTAACTTTATTAACTCTTCATCCAATAAGTTGGTTGGGAAGAAGAGGATGTAGTGTGTATATACAGCAACAAATCTTTTTTAGTCAAAACTGTTGTCACGTGAAAGCGGAAAAATCAACTTGAATTTTTCTTTATTCACATGCATGTACAAGTAGAGACCGAAAATTTCTTGGAAGTCATAAGTGAAAAACATTGTTATTTTTAGTCGCTTATCAAAAAAGAAATTTATTTAGTTCAATGTGGATGTGGCATAGATTATGACAAGAATGTAAATTCGTAGAATGTTTGGTTTTGCAAGCATTTAAAAATCATATATCAATTTGTGGTTTATGGATAATTTATATTGTGATTTATTGAAGACAATTTAAACGGAAAAGTATTATAAAAATGATCAATTAAGGTTGGAAGCATTCATATTGATAGAACATTGGGGATTTCATATTCTTTTGGTAAATAAAAGAATTCCAGTGGGATATTTATTATTTCTTTATCTAATGAAGCAGTATTAATTTTAAGCGTATTAGCGTTAGCGTTAGTGAAAGTGGATTAGAAAGGTAATTCCTTCATACATTTGTTTATTATCGAAAAACCAAAAAACTTGTTTGAGCAGGTTCTATTTCCAAATTTGTATGATAAAGTCACATGAACCCAGCGCGTCGCGAGTTAGAAGATCAAACAACAATTTTTTTGATTGGTTGAATTAGAATCTACGAAGCGCGTTTCTCCTACTTGTATTAACTGCACAAACCAAAGAAGCCATCGTGTTGCATAAATAATGGGTATTCGAAATACAGGACCGTGCTCAGTGCTAAATTGCGACAAGGAAACCATCAAGTTCCGTCGTTTCACGCCATTAGCCTACAAAAAATCAATAGAAAAACACACGTTCGGCAGTTATTCCTATTTGCAAATTGGACAACAGCTGTGTCAAAAGCACTACCTGTGTATTGTTGAGCCGGATCGAAGTAGAAGGTACACGTCGCGGTCTAAGCGAAAGAATGGTCAAGAGTAAGTGGATCAAGCATTGTACATGAAAATATATGTGAATTGCATGTTTGCGTGTTTAGTTGTTTAAAATCGATTTTTTTATTTGTAAAGCAACAAAATGGAGTTAGTTACACCAGCCGTTGTTGCGAATCAATAATTTTTGAATGCAACGCGATTTGGTTCTTTATTAACGATCAAGAGACATGGTGGTGTGCTTTTTTAGTGTGAGGATATTGGTTGATTTTCACCTTGGATTTTTAAGTTCATTGTGTATGTGTGTGTGCATCAGTCTTGTATTACAAATAATAATAAACTTATAATTTTAAATGATAATGCATAGTACTTTCGATAGCTTGTGACGAATTTCCTCTGGAATAATATTTATAGACCCGTGCCAATAGATAATGAATCTTAATTGGTTCGCCATGACATTAGAGTGACTATGTATGTATGTAAATAAAATTTATTTGAAATCAATCTCGTCTAACTTATATCATTTAGAAATAATTACTAGTTGGTGAAATCAAAAGCACTAGTAATTTAAACAATGTACAAAGTTTGTGTATGTGATTAAGGGCGCGGAAAAGATGGAAGGATATAGAAGGCGTTATTTAGTGTGTGCGTATCTGAATAATAAGGAGAATCTGAGCGATTGAAATGGTGAAAAGGATTTAATAAATTAGAGGAGTGATGTGTGAGGTTTAGCTAGACATGAGGCGATAATGATGGGAGGAATTTCTAATGAAAATCATCGGGATAATATGGGGTAAGGTAGTAAAGATGCAGGATGCAGGGTGAATCTGCTGTAAGGTGGATCTGGCTGAAAATCGTGACGATCATGATAATAATGGGTGGCCGATTTCAGGATCATTCAAATGAGCTTGTAACTTTTTTTCTTCGAAAGCTTCAACATTTGACATATCCCCATGTCACTGGTACACGACCTTGCTCAGTATTTGCTATTTTCGAGAAAGCGACTGGACTCAGGTCGATATTACCCTAAAAAAAAAGGATTTTTTATTTTCTGTAAATTGATTTTTCAATTTAAAATATTGATTTCATTCTCTATTTACCCAAGGACAATCGGCACACCGATCCACAATCCTCACTTTGGCAGAACCACGTGGCCCCACAATTTTTACGCATCTACCACATGGGTTGTGTTGATCATATTGCGGTCCGTTCTTTGTTTTATTTGAGAATAGAATGATTTAATTTCCAAGATTTTTTTTATTGATTGAGATCTCTAACAAGATTCAAATATACAAAAGATGAAATTACCAGTGCTCCGATCTTTAAATTCCGATTATTTTGTTGATTTAGTTATTTCATTCGATAGGATAACACACAGTCAGAAAATTGGCGGATTACAAATGATTAAATTGCTAAATTTAAATTTACCATATCTCGATCCCTACTGAATTTACCACATGATCCTATCAAAAAAAAATTCAATTAGTATACGATATTATGTCTTTAAGCACAAATTCGACACGCAATAACTAATATAATCACCTAAAGTCCCTGTTTGATGATAAAAAGTAGACTACACGGAAAAATGAATGAATGAATTATCTGTCAATTAGAAAGTGATTGTACCACCACAAATTGATTGGTCCCTTGTATTCACAAAAATTCGAAATTCAAGATACCTGTCCATGTAATGTTACTCCGACATCTGAGGTATCAGTGGTGGCTTTGATTTTTGCTTCACCGCCGCTACCAAATACCAAACAACAACAGATCCAAAAGAAAATTATTGAATTGTAACAAAAGAATGACGATGGTGAAACTTTCAACGACAGTGATGATGAAGTTGCTATGAATTTGGCCATTTCGATAAGTCGAGAGAAAATATACAAAGAAAAATCAAAGAATGTGATAAAAGAAAAACCTCCAGGCTTTTCTTTGTTGCTTTATTATTAATATAGAGTCAAATAATCATTAAAATTATTTTTGGCTCGAATATATATATCGCTATGTGCTATTTGTTGCAAATCAAGGCAACAAATAGCTTCGGAAATTGTCGTTGTGTGGGTTTTGTGGAGAAAGGCATGAGAAAAAGAAAGAGTAAAGTTTGTTCGATCGAATGAGCGAAAAAGAAAGACAAATTGAACAATAATTGGTATATATCAGTCATTGTTACATTAGCACGAATTTTAAATCTCGGAAATAGGAACAAAATATTTAAAATTTTGGAAAATATTCTACTTTTGGTCAATAACACATTAAATATGGTAACATTACAATTACATAGTACGTAATAACGATAATAGCGATGGTAATTCATGATTGATTGAATAACTCCTTTTATGTCTTGTTACTTGATTGTGACACACAAGAATTTGGCATACGTATTCATCACATTACATAGAGGTGCATATCATACATGCTGCCTGCATATAAAGTCATCCATATGTGCAAATTAAGACAGAGGAAGAAAGAGCGAGGATTGATTGATTGGTTAACTTCATGAGTTGTGAGTAACAGTCCACGCATACAAAAACCATACAAAACAATAACAACACATCCGAAAAGTACACACACGTAATACATCCACAATCCATCTCTTTAAAAAACGTTTACTTCCATTCTGTGGTTAAACGATTCAGCGATAGATAGTAAATTTTCTGGTTATTATATACGCGTGACGCGTTCTTAAGATTGGGCGGTCACATTATCTATCACTTGTGCAGGATATGGTCAGGGAACCCGATATATAAAAGAAACCAATTACATTTTATGGCTATTTCGTTAAGAGTAGAATATTGATACTACTAAAAATTTTGATTATACCGACCGATCTAAAAATATCAGAAATTTTCCGGGACCCTAGATATGCTTCTAAATTTTTCGCGAGAATAGTCTGTTGTTAAATTCACGAGTAAATGAAATAGTCATATGAAAATTAATCGATAACTTGAAGTAACATTAATCATGCAAAGTGAATCTCTTTTCTGTTCTATTATCAATTTAATAAAAACTAGGTAATCGCTTATAGCCATGAATAAAAAAGAGACTTTTCTGGCTGTAATGAACGAAAATAAAGTTCGTGAGAAATTTTTGACTACTATCCGATTTGATTAATTCGACTTACCGAAAATCACAAAGAAGAAAATTTAATTTTGATCCATTTTCAGGTAAGTGTGAGAGTTCGAAAAAGAAATGCGTGTGAATATTTGCGTTTGAATGGTTTGGTTTTTGTCCAAAGGGGTTCTTCATAAGTGTGGAGAAGGAGAAGGAAAAAAGGTTAGATCTTTCACCAACACCAGAATATTTATTATTTCATTTTTTAAAAGATGAATAGGACGAAACCCTCATTAAGAAATTTAATGTAACAGGTAATTGTTTTCATTGGTTACTCAGGTGCACAAAAGTTAGCATCGTTGGTACTTTCGAATTCTGGTGGAAATGACTTGATTCCATAAAGAATAATCGATATCGATCAAAACTGTTTCTAGTAGCTACCTGAAATGTAAATTATGTATATGCATGACGGCGAAAACGGGAGTGTTTTTCCAGCATCAATGAGTCCGTGTACAACTTGCCATGTGCATATGCATTAGTCGTTTTATTATCAGCACAAACAAAAAAACAGTTTAGTATATTAGTGGGTGGTGATTATGATGGTATTACACAAGCATCGAAAAATTCATGTTATGTTATTTTCACCACAAAAATAGTTGATCTTGTATTTAATGAAAATATCGAGTATTAAATACGTTCTTTCATCAATTATAGTATTTTATTGTAGAATTAAATGTTGACTGACAGGTGTCATCTTGGTTGAAAATAATTCGATTTCTTTAAATTTCAATGAATTCATCGCGATTTTGGGCGTTAATATTTTAATTGAATAATGAGGCTTAATATTATAGGGGACATGTTTACAATAATCTCGTATTACCCATGCCAAAAGAATCTAATACCTTTCAACCCTAAAATCCTATGTATGGGACAAAACAAGTCAAGATATGCGTAGTTCAGCGAGATGTAAATAAATAATGTAAGGTGATTAATAGTTACTAAAAACATATAAGAAATAAAATTATTGATGATGATGACATTTAATTTTTTTTAATATTTTAGACAATGATGCTAATGAATGATCAACAATTAACAATCACTTTAATCATCACTCATCCCACCCATCATTACCATCTTGAAAAAAAGAACAATACAAACATGTACGTCATGTATTAATAGCATATCGGCCGAATGAAAGCAGCGGGATAAAGTCAAGGGTAACGGAAAATAAAGTAATGCAATCTATTGAAGACGATCAGATGATAATGATAATTTTTAAATTAAAAGTGGTTGTATCACAAATTAATTGCGTATTTCCAAACACGGATTGTTTGTTACTATTTTGGGTTCGTCCTTTGTCTCATGTCATTACATATATTTTTTTGTATTCTCAAGTCTTTTACGAACGCGCACCTTTACTAATGAAATAATATCTTTATTTTTACCCTTTAGATATATTTTTGTAGATATGGTAGAGATACCTGATGTAGCGGAGGAAGATAGGAATAACCCCCGCATTTTTATTATTTAAATGTTTTTCGGTTTATTTCCCGTGATGGAGACAATTAATGTATGCAAGTAATGTTGTATTTCGTTAAAGTACAGACGGATGTATGTATGTATGTTGTGGGTTTATGTTGTACATGTGGATTCACACTCTCCTCAATGGCATTTCCAGGTTTTTTTGTTTAGCAATATCCAATATTATCGTTAGAGAAAGCATCATTTGCTCTTTAAACGGTCAAAAATATAGAATTAACAATAAGCTATTATTAGAAGTGACATAATAATTTCCTTTAATGGGTTTCTATTGACTTTCAATTGCAGGAAGGAAAAAGATTTTTGATTATTCATTAACTGTGAAAAGAGATTTATTTATGCTCTGAATAATCGCCTCCAGGTATTTTTTAACAGCAGATTTTGCGGATATTTTGAATTTACGTCACAATTGTGGCTGATCAACGAAAAAACCGCAAGAATAGAAATTAATTCATTAAATTTTATGCATATATGTGATGGTTAACAAATAATACTTTTACATTAATTTATACGTAATATATCAACAGTATAAATAAGTAAATTCTATTATTAAAATCAAACTAACTTAAATTGATTCGTGTCTAAAAAAAGTATATGTACGTCACGGAACACAAATCATATTTTGTTTTGTTCACTATGTTGTATTTAACCAACCAAATTAAACTAAATTGACGAACACAAAAAACTATTTATAAGAGTTGAATTGTTGTCACACTCGCACAATCTCAAAGAACTTGTTATCAGTAGTTGTTATTATCATTATTATTAATCTATAAACCCTTTTTTATTTTAAGAAACGCAATATAAATATAAGTATACATAATTTACACATACACATAATTTACACATACACCCCTCAACGTACTTGCACAAACAACATCAAACTAACACCAAAGAAAGAAGGAACATCCCAACTTGTTCTCTTCCGTGAATTTGTAATCGCAACAGCCATCTATTTACTAGAACTCTGTAGTATACGCGCGCGTGCATAAATATTTAGTTTTAGTATTCATTATATTTATATAACTGTAAAACGCTCAAATTCGTCTATTTGAACAAACAAAAAAAGCTTTATCAAATACGCCTCTTTTTTTTTTTGATTTTTTTGCGCCGCTACACGCTTCCTTGTTTTTGACCAAAAAAAATACAGCACAAATATAATCATACTTTTTAACGACTTTTTACGGTTCTATCGTATATCATACTCTCATTCACTTATTCACCAACTTTTACTTATTTACCAGCTTTCACACACACACTCGCCCTCCCCTTCACTTTCACCCTCCTCGTCTTTATTATTTTCTTGGAAACATTATTTCGAGTACTAATAATAGTAAATATAGTAAATCAAATCCAGAGTTCTACTCGGGATCAGATACAAGAAAACCACATAAAAAATATATCAGAATGAATTCACTTATCCGTATCTTTGCGTCAAAGTCACCTGACGAATTTTCCGATTATACAGATATCATTGCGTCAGAGGTACTATTTTATTCTCTTAATACACACGCTGTTTTTATTCCGTTCGATTCATTTCTCATTTTCCATTTTTTCGTTAGGATGATCCGGTTGTCTTGAAAGAATACATCGGAAAACTGTATAAATGTGTCAAAGACAAGGTAAGGATCGGTATTTACGAATTTAATATTGATCAACTGAAATGTAATTAATTTAAATCATCTCTGATTATTAGACAAGGAGTTTACGAAGCGCCTACGCGAAACTTGATAATTTGAATACTGAACTTGCGCAAGAACGAACACGAGTTAGTGATATTGAAGATGAAAATGAAAGCCTTCGAGGTAATTAGTCATTTACTTTTGACAATTATTTTTTAATCGAAATAAATTAAGTGAATGCTTTTTTTTATTATATTGTAGAGCAAATGCGTGAATTGCAGATTCAGATGGCTACTCGAGAGGATGAATTCAGAGAATGGCAAGAAAGAGTATGTAATTTCTATTTCCTACATTTATTCACAACGTAATTTTTTTTTAAATTTCTAACCAGTAAATATATTTACAGCTTGTTCAAGATGCAAACGAAGAACGAGAGCTTCTAGAAGAAGAACACGACGTAGAGTTCGCAGAACTCGACAACCGCATTGTCGAACTCGAAGAAGCACTCGAAACAGCCAACGAAGAAATCGGTTCACTAACTCTACGAATTCGTGAACTCTCCGATAACGGATCAAAAACCGGAACACGACGCTCTTCAATGGACTCGCGTTTCAGCGAAGCGAGTACTGTGTTGAACGCCGTACGCCAATATGAAGATGATCGACAACAATTGGCGGACCAGGTTACTGAATTGACACAGAAAAAGAGCGTCTTGGAGACTGAATTGAATTTGCTTCGAGAGGAGCAACTGGACTTGAAGGTAATTATTTATTTTTTTTTTTTTTTTTTTTTTTTTTTTTTTGTTTAGTTGTCAAGTTTATTAATGACGCGCGTTTTTTTATAGACACAGATCCGTAAAGTAAAAGAAGATAATGGTCGCTTGCGAATGGAAAACAAGGAATTCAAACAACAAATTGGGCGTCGAGCATTTATTAAAGAACTTGAAGAGATTAATTTAGATTGATTTATAAAACCACACGTGTTGTTGAACTTGCGACAAATATCAATGAACGATATCACGAAACAATATTTAACAACCCGACAAAAAATCTGAAAAAAATCGATAAAACAACGACAAAAAAACCAAAGAACAACAGACATTTTTCTCTCTTTTTGCCTTTACTATCTTCCTTGACACTGCCAAAAAACACATTATTATTACAAAGACATTTTTATATATAATATTATTGTAAATACTTTATTGACAATACCCTTCTTTTTCGCAATTTTACAATACCAACAATCACCGCCATTATCATTATTATTATCACTTACAATCTCATTCGTCTACTTCTTCTCTTTCTTTATCGTCGGGACACGTAAAAAAGAGGAAGAGATGGAAGGATACAACAACGACGATAATAATAATAACCCATATATCCATATAACGATAACTAAACATGTATCCACATATAAATACTCGAAGTATTGACAGTTAGCTTTAGTTTAGTTTTAGTTGTTTAGGTAATATATGTATATTATACAAGGGAGACCCACTGAATACCAACGTGCGCGCGTTAATTAATATACACAAATATATTTGCCTAAATACACTCACTAAATACCTGAATATCTGGTATAATATAAACAAATGAACATTATATTTTCTTTTTTTGTTACGCTTTTTTTCTTACTTCCCCTTTGACCCCTTTTTTTCTATCATAAGAAGGATTAGGATCAGGGTCAGGGTCAGGAAACGAATTAAATTTTATTTAATAACGGTTAACGACGAGTATTGTGAATTAAATGTGAGTTGGGCTGACAAAGGATTTTTTGGTTTATTTTTTGGGTTTATCATTATTTTTTGGGTTTTTCTGGGGTTGGAAGTATTCTCACATTTCTTTTCACTTTTCGCGTTATTCGTCTATTCAAATTCGATTCGATTTCCTTTTTCTCTATCGCTATTCTTTCCTTGATTATCTTCCATATATAGAACATCCATTTAAAGCTTCGGAATTCTGTTCAACACTTGTTATACATAAATTAATACATACACTTGACCACATACACGCATTTTCACACTTTCTATACTTTAATATTTTCTGTTCTGTTCATATTCTATTATTAGTAAATTTTTTCTCACACACTTAATTATCATAATACTATTATACTGCATACATACACGTATTATTTTCCCATATTTCATACTGCATTCTTCGTCGTCAAACAATCATTGACAAGCCACCTTTTTTTTTACTTCATATTTCATATTTCGCTATTTCATCGCATCGCATCGAACATTTTTATAATCATGTATTACTATTTTTGTATTAATTATAATCTTTAATATTAATGTTACCAGTAATCCTTTTTTCTTAGTTTAGCTTGATAATTATACAAACCAAACAACAATCAAGCGCGCAAAACCTGCAACCAACATACACACATACACACGTTTCGTCATAGTTTTCTTGTCGAGAACATAAAAGAATAGATTTCGCCTTTCTTTTTTTTTTTATACCAATAGAATAATATTAGAACAATAGTAGATAAATTAGACAATTTCTTGTTTTTAACGTTAAAGACATTGACTCCGTCATTCATTACCATATTACAAATGTCACTTCTTACCAACTATATTTCACTCTTTAAAACTAATTCAACAACAATGACACTCTTTAAAAGAACTACATCAACAAAGATTTGATGTTATGACTTTTTTAAAAAAAAATAACAGATTGAGAAAACAAATAAAGATGTATATTTCTAGAAATTAACTCAATAACAAAAAATACTCTCACGTATAAAATAAGGTGAAAATGGCGATATCATGATCACAACGTATGATGGATACATATTTTCATGTTAATTTTAGCAACAGATTGTTCTCAAGAAAACGCGTGAGAATAGAGAACTTTCGATATTGTTACGTAGCTTCACACAATTACGTTTTTTTGTTTGATAAAATCACTAAATACTATTAATAGATATTTTTATCAATTGACACATTAATTGTTAACATTAATTGTCAGTATTTATATTGATTCATCTATTATGCATTCGATGGCGTAGTAAATGATTCAAATAGTCCACGTAGCACGTCAAATGTTTCGGGATAAACCCTACCGTAAAGTTCTGCATATAATACCTCCTTTGTAGGAAATTTAAGCCTCGATTTATTACAATCTTGAGGTTCAATTAAGGTTTAAATTTTTTACAGGTGAGGGGATCCTTTACGGTATTTCCAATTTTGAAATGTTTCGGATTTCTAAACGCCAAAGTTATGGCAAAACTAAAATGCATGTTTTAAAATTGCACCAGGAACCCAATCTTTCTCAATACCATTCTTATAATATCCTTTTCTTCGGAAAGTTCAAAATCGGTATCTCACCAAACTATTTGTAAATTTAGCTGTACCAAGGTTTCGAAAATGCGATAATATTTCATGTGAATAATTCATTAAATAAAAGCAGAACGTGTCGGTATATTTTCCTATAAAAACATTTTAACATTGACCCAAATTCAAATAAACATACGTATGTTAACATTGAAGCATACAAATTGCCAAAATTCACTAGCTGAATTTGACAATCGTAAAAAATTTGATGTGCACTGCGCACACGATTTTAGGTGTGCTTTTAACCCCCCCCCCCCCTTTTTTTTTTTTAGTAAAAATCAATATTTTTTCTGCAAAATGATTATTCCAAAATTTTTAGTTAAGTGGCAAATTTACGGGTGAAGACTAAATTTAGTAAATATTTAAAATCATCGTTCCCAATCAACCAATCGGATTTAATGCTCGCTATGATTATCTGCATGAAGTATTAATCTAATATCGATATGCATAACGATACAGTATGAAAAACTTTATATCAAATTCGTCTGCGTAATTCAAATAAATAAAATTTCCAATCACCAGAAATTATTAAAAATCTGGACAATAAACAAACCAACGAACACGAACGCGCAAATGTGCGAACATAACGACCAAATGTGTAAAGATAAAGTGGATGATAATCTGAAAATTAGAGTCACGTTGTGCAATAATTCTTTGTAGATGAACAAAGAAGTAATCGTTATATATATAATTCGCTCTCTGAATATTATCCATGACTTTTGATCTGGTATTGAATATAATTGTTATTTAGTTCGAGACAAATTTTAAAGCAATAAACAAATAGAAAAAGCTTTGGAAAAGTCAAAGCATTCAGCGAGAAAAATATATGGAGTAGATTATCCAAATCATCGACAAAAGAAGATCTTCCTCCGAAATATGATGACGATTATGGACACGATAACGAGGATGATGATAATCCAACTGTTTACGATGACGATGGAAATCCGTTTTATGATGCTTCATCTGTAGGTTATAATGAATGATCCAGCAATTTATAATTTGTATCAGCAACAAGGTGTCGGTATTGGGGTGGTGTCAACAATGCAGATATTGGCGATGGTGTTAATAATGCAGGTATTACTTCATCTTCGTTATTGTTATTTAAAAAGTTGGAATCAAATAATGAATGTGCTAAAGTTGACGGAAAAATAGATTTTAATGGAGCAAGAATTTGTTCTTCTTTGTTGACAGTAGAATTTGTTTAACTTTTGTCAACCAATCAGAAAAGTAATTTTTAACTTTTGGTGTGATAGGTTATCAAATTGTTGATTGATATGGTGTTAATGGATGAGCTATTACTTTAAATGATAATGGCACTGGTGAATTTGCTCTTGATTTTTAGCTACATAATGTTATTTGTTGTGGATATTCACATCTTTTTTGTACAAACATGATAACATCAGTTAATAGATTTTCTAGACAATGAAATATTTGGTTCTTTAATACAAAGGTTAAAACTGATTATTGAAATCAGATTTATAATTGGATTTAATCAATTTTAATTTATAACCAGTTCAAAAATTTTTTAAAACAATTAATCAGTTTTATTATCACTTAAACTATTAGGTTTAGTAAGCAAATTTGCCTGCTAAAATTTATATCTAATATATTTTTACCAAAAATTAAAAAAAGATTGTTTAAACTTAGCTTTAATTATATATTATATAATAGTTATTTAATAATTATAAAAAAATTATAATTATTTATAAGTTAAAAATAAGTAATTTTAAAAAATTTTTATTATTAATTTTAAATTTTAAAAAATTACAGAATTGATTAAAAAATCAATTAAATATTTTGAGCAATTGTACATCAAAATTACAAATTTTATATTACATTGATTAAAAATATGTTATATTTTTATTTTAACTTAGAAAAAGAAGGATTAAGCTTATAAAAATTAGAAATAAATATATAAAAATAAGCTAAAAAAAATTTTAGCAGGCAAATTTACCTGCTAAATAATTTAAGAAATATTATATACTTCTAAATTTAAGCAACTCTCTATATTATTATTTTTGAGATCAAAAATTTAAGAAGTTACTTAAATTTGGATAGTTCAGAAATTTCTTAAAAAATATTAAATAGAGATCAGATAAATAATGATTAAGAATATATACATATATGTACAATTGTGAAATAAATAAAAAATATGTCTAACATTATGCACAAAATTAAAATTTTTAATTTCAAATTTTTGCTCAAATTTTTTTTTACTATCAATATTTTCTTTGCATTACAATTTATTTATTTTATTAACATTATTTAACTTAATATAAAAAATAAGTACTAATTCTGGCAATATTAGTATTGAACTAATTCAGGTCAAAAAACATATACAAAGAATTGCATATAAAATATTTGAAAAACTTATTATTATTCATGAAGCTAAAAAGATTAATATTTTAATTGCAATGTGTTATTTTGATATTAACAAGTTAATAGTATCACAATGAATGTCTAATAAGAAAAAGTTTAGTAATGCAATATTAAAAAATTAATGTATTAATGCAAGAAAGATTGCTACTTATTTGATAGCTAAAGAGAAATTTGTTAATTGTATTTGCAAGCTTTGACTTGTTAAAATTGCTGTAACATTTACAACTATCAAAATACAAATAATCATT